GTGTTTATTCAAGTAGTGAATAAAAAGTCTATGGAGAAATCCTCATTTAAGGTTTCCTTGGAGCCCAGTGGATATGCACACTAAAATGAAAATCTTCATGCATTGGGGTGGAATCGCTAAAAATCTCTAAAAAATAGATCTGCATTTTACACGAGGGACCGCGGATATGCATGCAGAATAATAGAGATTTGAACCGGGTATCTCCCAAATGCTGATCAGCCGCATTCTCGTTTGTGTCAACTACGTACACATACTCTCTCATAATACAGTGTAGTGAACTACTTCAGATAAGATAGCAATCACTGTAACGTATTAAACTGATTAGGAATAAAATTATTCCTTACCTAGGCCTGCACAGTTAATCACAAAAATAGATTTTAGGTTATGTACATTTCATTGCGTCAACCGTATCATTTCATCATTCCATACAACTGCAGCAATTGAATTCAGTGTTTTGAACTTAACAAAGCTCCACGTATGGTATCTTTTCACGTTTCCATACAACAAAACATGAAATAAAATATTCTTAACTCGACGAAGTCTGACGTATCACATTCAAGTCAAAGCGATAAATCTGCCATCTATGCTCAATATTTGAAAGTTCGAATCATAACATGTGGGGACCGGTTGGAACCACGGGGACCACCATGGTTACGGAAATTGAAACCGTGAGAATGAGAAACGAGGATTAAAGCTAAATGATAATTTCATTTTTAGAGGCCAGTGTGCAATACACAGAAAACAGCATTTACACGTTAGTTTTCGCAGGCAAGACTATTTTTTTTATTGCTAGTGGGGTGGGACTAAGTCCCTTGTACTGCGGCCACTTCTGGCCAATTGTACCAGCCCCAGATGATAGGGGAGGGTGATTGTGGAGCAATTGGTGGAATGAAGATTGGTAGGGGAAACCGAAGTACTCGGAGAAGACCTGCCCAGCGCCACTTTGTCCACAACAAATACCACTTGACCAGACCCGGGATCGAACCCGGGCCGCCGCGGTGGGAAGCCAGCGACTAACCGCTTGAGCTATGGCACGGCCTTGGCGAGACTAAGTATGCTCTCTATGAGATGTGAACTGAATTCTTACATATAAAATCGTTTATCCCCCACCACGGTAAAATGCAGCCAGCATCGCAATTCTCCCGTTCCCCCTCTTCAAACTTGGAAATCGAAATATCTGAATAGAACCGGGGGCCCATGTGATATGCAGTACAGGCACAGTTGGACACATGGGCCTGAAAATACTCAACACATGAGAAAACAACATTAGATTAAAAATCCTAGTTAAGCCAGTCACATCATGGGCTGCCTCCCCTTGGCATTCCCATGCATTCAAAAATGAATTTTGACGAACGACATTTTTTGCAGTAACTCTTCTCTCCTCATTCATTCCGTAATCAATGCATTGTTGTTGTATTATGATTCCAACACACACACGCACACAAACAAAAACGCTTTTTACGGAAACTTCAGCGGATCTGTATACTTCCTGGCTGATTGTTGGCTAGGAGTTAATACATACCCCCATGGTCCTACAACTGGCCTCCTCGACAATGATATTCTTTGTTTCCCTTTATCTTCAAGTGAATGATATTGTCCCCGAAAACGAAGCTGTTTTTGAATTCTTCTCACGCAGCTATGAAAATCCTAAAATTACTTTCCTAAAATCAGTATTCCAAATTATGCAACTTGCAAGTAATCCAAAAATAAAATTCATCGGCCCTAGTGTACAGCAGTTCACAAAGCTTGTCACCCAATATTAGAGTGACCTTATATTTCGAAAGAAAATGCTGTATACAAGTTAAAAAGTGAGGAGGTGAGAGGCGAAATGGAGGAGCATATTTACATGTCTTACATTCCCTGAAATAAGAACAAGAAAAGGTCACTTTACAGTCGCTTTCGTCCTCGTCATCCGGTTGTACTTGTTCTTTTTGCCTAGCCGGACGCCACTGATCGTGCTCTAACGTTTTTTCTCCAGTACCGACTTGGGTTTGTAAAACTTGGCGTGAAGGTCTAAACAGTTTTCTTCGAAGTTCGCAGTACTTCATTCGTAAAAACGCTCTTTCCACTGTATATGCTCTGCTTAGATTTTCACTGAAAGTGGATTTACGTTTCGACAACTTATTGTTCATAATTCTTTCTTGAAGTAAAGGGTAAAGGTAATGTTGTCCCTATGCTTAATTAACTAAACATCTCGCCATGAAGGCGTATGTGGGAGTGGTGGTATCGCTCAACCATTATTGATCTCGGCACTAGATGGAAGTTAGTGGTCAGCTTCAGGCTCCGGCCGCTTTAACCCCGGAGAAAGGGCCCCTGGTATCCGTTGGATAGGAAACCGGGTTGGCCCCAGAGCCGTTCTTGACGCTGTGGACAAGATAAAAATCTCTCGCCTCTGTCGGGATTCGAACCCTGTCCGTCCATGCCGTAAGTCTGTCGTCATACTGACTAAGTTATCCTAGCTCACTTCTTTTCTACAGGAAACACGTCATAAATTAACACACTCGCGCTGAAAGTCTCGAGCCATCGGACCCCAGTTTGGATCACATGGTATAAACTAACAAGTAATACATCTCCAGTCACGTGTTTCGTTTGTTTCTGTTGTAGCTGATGAAAATGTAACCAGAAACGCTGTTTAGATACTCAACTGCTTTGGAACAGATGGCGCCCTCAGGGAACAAGTACAGGGACAATCTGAAGTTGAAATCCGGGACATTTCTTCATTTCTTAACTCACCGAACGGGATCCCGTCAAAAGTTAACTGGGACGTAAGGCCAGCCACCCTAACATGAAATAATAACTTATGTTTATAGCGCCCGGTAGTCAGCAGTTTTTGGCCCCTGGATAATTTCCACGTACAAGCTGTCGGCTTGGTGTTCCCTTCCACGCTCCTATGTCATCACGCATCTAATGAACTTAAGGGTTCAAACCCTCCTGTCGTTTTCTGTTGGTCTCTATTGGCAAATGTCAGTTTAGTGCGATGGCCGAGTGTGACTTTCTAAAAGCTACTGGCCAAACCGAGAGGCAATGGGGATCTACGCTCTGCTAGCACGTAAGATATTGAGTTACTTTAATTAACATTCCTATTTAGCTAACGTGATAACTTGAAATGGTATGCGCCCCCTTCAAGCCTATACTATATAGTAATATTATATTGTAGCATCCTCTTGCACATCGCTTATTATTCAACAAACGTCATTGGTTCGCCGACTTGCATGCAAAGCTTCCTTCTAAAACTTATTTAAGAATCTCTTACATACACACAGTGACTCTTTTAGACCTAATTTAAAATCTTCTATGCATTGCACTACATGTTTCGACCGACACCGGTCATCATTAGGTGTTTAAAAATTGTTTGTAGAAACTGTTATGCTTCCTTTCTGTGATTCTAATATTCTATGTGTAGTCCCATCTTTGGGCTCGTGTATTTTATGGTATTGGGTGTCTCTTCCTGTTGTGTATAACACTCGTTGTCTAGACACCCACAAGAGGAAGCGACACCCAGTACCATAAAATACACGAGCCCAAAGATGGGACTACACATAGAATATTAGAATCACAGAAAGGAAGCATAACAGTTTCTACAAACAATTTTTAAACACCTAATGATGACCGGTGTCGGTCGAAACATGTAGTACAAACCACAAAAGCTTTTAAATAAGTTTTAAAAGACGCATTATGTGTACTTACTTACTTACTTACTAATGGAGCTGAGCCCTTCTGGAGGAGCCGCCAATTCTGCAGCTACTCAAGAACTTCCCAGCATTTTATGGAACCCGAAGGTTCATTACCGTGTTCACATTGTGTGTATGTAAGGAAAATTTAAATACGTTTTAGAAGGACGCGTTGCAAGTAAGACGGCGAACCAGTGACGTTTGTTGAACTACACGTATATTATATCGTGTTATTTTCTCCATTGCTTTTCAACTTTTCTTTAGAATATGCCATTAGGAACGACCAGGAAGAACCAGGTTTCATTGGAATGAAATGCTACTGCTGCTGGTCTATGCTGATGATGTAAGTCTTCTGGGAGATCATAAATTTACCATAAAGTAAAAAGTCCAGAACCTCTAAACTGATGCAAGTAATAAGATTGGTCTAGACGTAAACGCAGATAAATCTGGGTATATGTTGCTGTCTCGTCACCAGAATGCAGGGTAAAATAGTAGCATGAAGAGAGATAACAGAGCATTTGAAAATGTGGCACAATTAAAATATTTGGGAACGGCAGTAACAAATCAAAATTGAATTCAGGAGAACATTAAGAGGAGACTGAATTTGTGTATTGCTTGCACCATTCAGCACAGAATCTCTAGTCTTCTGGTCTGCTGTCTAAAGGCGTAAAAATTAGACTATACTGAGCTATAATTTTGCCTGTGGTTTCGTATGGGTGTGAAACTTCATATTTGACATTAAGGGAGAAACATAGACTGAGGGTGTCTGAGAACAGGGTGCTGAGGAGAATATTCGATCCGAGGAGGGATGACGTTACAGGAGGTTGGAGGAAACTGCATAATGAGGAGCTTCATGATTGTATTCTTCGCCAAGTATATTTAAAATGGTCAAGTTAAGGAGGATGAGATGGGCAGGGCATACAGGACGAACGGGTGCGAAGAGAAATACGTATAGGATACTGGTGGGAAAGCCAGAAGGAAAGAGACGACTAGGAAGACCAAGACGTTGGTGGGTGGATAATATTAATATGGATCTTAGATAAGATGGAGTGGTATGTACTGGATTGATATGGGTCAGGATAGGGACCAGTGGAGAGCTCTTACGAACACGGTATTGAACCTGCGGCTTCCATAAAATGTTTTGAAATTCTCGAGTATCTGTGCAACTGGCGGCTTCGCAAGAAGGACCCAGCTCCATAGAGTTAGGTTACTTACTAATAGTATCAAATTCTGTTGGGTTGGCCAGCATGTTCAGCAATAAACTCGCGTCGTACGTAGTCTGGTCAGCAAGCCTGCGCGTTTAGCAGGCTCCGTGCTCATTATAGTGGTGGAAGGCGCAGGGAGCGAAGGTGTTGTTTTTGTCCCTCTGTCATATGGTGTTTCTTGTTGCAAAATATACAGGTGTGTAGAAAACTGTGCTATAGCCATCCCATATGTTTTCTTGACTTAAAGTGCTTTCCTTTTGATAGTGTCGATAGAAGTGAATATTGTTTGTGTTTTTACAGCGGTGTAAAATTTGTTGGTAAAATTTGGTGCAGTGCATATGAAGACCCAACTCGCAGCCTGAAAATAGTTCAACATGAATATATCAGCGCTTTGGTGCTTACCCACTCTTCTGCTTCTCATTGCCCTTGGTGAGTAGCTCTGCAACATAACATTGTAGTACCGTATTGTTACACATTTCGGTAGAAATAAACATTTCATTGTCGCGTGGTTACCAGATGTCTTAGGTTTCGCCATGTTCGAAGATCATATTATGAAGCCGGCAACTGCATCGTGATACCTCAGCGAAGACAATTTTACAGTTCTTTGTTTATTGTTGTTTTGTGATAATACGAGACAAAAATCTATGTATTCTACCATATGATGTGAAACTATAAATTGCCGAAAACCTGCGTGATAATATCATAATAAATTAATTCCAAAGGTACCGTGTGGTTATGAATATTTGCACATTTCTTCCCTCCGCGAACTTAATGCTGAAATGCATCATTTACAGCCTAAAACCGTTTCGTACCCCAGAACCACCCTGATTATTTCTTTATGCCTGATGGGGAGTACTTGAAACCACGGAGATAGAATTTGTTTCTCCGAAAAATGCGTACGTTTAACAAAACAGCTGCAATGTATACAAACTGCGGAGTTCATGCAAATATCGTAGGCACATACGTTTGATGTTTCATGAAAGAGCCCAATGTGAAGTTGGACATACGTACTAAGGAAAATAGATAACTTCCATTGCAGAGGAATTGTACGCGGAAACTCGCTTTGTGTAAAAGAGTGTGACAAATTGGAAACCTAGCGGTGCTGTGATGTCGAAAGCTTAGGGATGAAATGGGCCACCCGCCACTCCTTTTCTTTAAGAGTCTGTGGTGCCATTATATCGTTTTGTGCTACATCCAGCTCATCCACATCCGAAATTCATATTGTAAGAGGTCTTAAATGTTAAGATATTGTCACGTTTCATGTCTGCATGTTGCTCCATTTTTAACAAATACAGCGGTTCTGACAATACCATTAGTGTAATTAGTGTTGAAATTGCTTTGTATCTCTTTGAACGAATCTCGTTTAAAATCTAGAGGTTGATGTTGACTTTCACCTGTCACACGAAACTTGTCCATTGTAGGTGATGAAGAACAGATTAGGTTAGATGAGTCCACATTAGCATTTTTATAAGTTTCATACACGATTATGAACTCTTAATGGGGATGTTGTGTCTGTTTCGGCATGTTTCGTCTCCGAAACTACCGAATTGATTTTGATGATGACTGATATTAGAAACTTAGCGGGCCACAGTAGCCGCGCGGTCTAAGGCATGAACTGTCTTCGCTCGCTCGGACGCAGGGATGGTGGGTTCGAATCCCACTCAGGGCATGGATGTTTGGTGAGTGTGTGCGTTTATTCTGTGTTTGTGTTGTCCTGTGTTTAGGTAGCGGCTTTGCGACGGGCTGATCACTCGTCCAAGGAGTTCTACCGTCTGTGAAAAATGATTACGGAACTGAATAAGAGGCCAGGGCCCTGAATGGGTTGGAAGAGTCATCGAAAAAAAAAATGGAAACCTACACCGAAAATTGTCGCATGAGTTCAATTTTCGTGCACATCAGCCCACAAGTACCCTCGACGTACTTAAACAGAAACAAAACTTCACCAGAACGAGTTATCGCAATAAAACTTGATGCATGACTTAATATGAGCCGGGAGAGCGCAGTCGGTATAGCGACTTGCTGCGGCCTGGACGACCGAGGGGTCGGAGTTCGATTCCCGGTAGGATCAAGAATTTTCTCTTCTCCAAGTCGTCCAGACCGGCTCTGTGGTCCAACCAGCCTCCTATCTAATGGGTACCGGTGGCTCTTTCCCCAGGGTAAAGCCGCCGGAGCGTGAAGCTGACCACTCACCTCCAACTAGTTCCTAGGTCAAGAAAACATGGATCTATACATCCACTCCCCCATACGCCTTAATGGCGTAGTGCTTAATTAGTTAAGCACAGGGAAAAATTTACCTTTTTTTCCTTTATATGACTTATAGGAATTTCTTTTGAGACCTGAGGTTCTTACGGCAGTGAATATTAAGATTACGGTCTTTTGGAGTGTGCCGCCGTGTAGTTAGGTAGATGGGTATAAGACAATCCCGAGGAACCTCGCTTCCATCTTGTAATCTATCAAAGTAAACTGCGTCACAACCCATAAGCCTATAGTTTCGATAAATGGCTTTTGTTAGAAACGTTTTCTAAATGCATACAGCGATTATTTAACTAATAAAGACAATTTCTGACTTCGCTGCGCGATAGTATTACTGGGATGTGGATAAAATGTAATCAGTTACGATTATGTTTGATTAGATACGGGGGCTCTGACCTTGGATGTAAGCGGGTGGGGCGTGAATCTTACCGCTTACGTCCGTCCACACTCCGGGATCAGTTTAATTATAACTTGTATCAGATGGGGCACACGATAGCGTAGTTGGTTGAAGCCGGAAGGTTGCGGGATCGAATCCCGATAAGGTGATTTTTTTTAAATTGGCCTAATCCTTCCAGCCGCAATATAGCCCTGGGGTCGACTCAGCCTGTAACAGAAATGAGTACCAGGAATATTCTGGGGGGTAAAGGCGGCCGTCGGCGCGTAAGGCTGACAACCTCACCGCCGTCTGTGAGCCGATTGTCTAGAAAATATGGGAGCCTCGACGTCTCACAACCCTATGGGCCTCCACGGCCTGTTACAGGGATAGCTTTACTTTTTTACTTATCAGATGAGCGCTGTATTGACTGGCAGTGACAGCGCTGTTTGAGTGGGCAGTAGTTGACAACAGTGTTACATTATCCGGCCTGAGTTGGGAGTTGCTACGTCTCAAACGGGTGGCGCCAGGGATCATGGGATCCTGACTCCACTTTCTCTTTTTTATTTAGCTTACTACGCTGTCAGTAGCTAGACAGTTATAGCTTCTAGTTGTCGAGTGACATGAATTGGAAAGGATTTGAAAGGAACCGCCCATGGCACAATCGAGATATCTCGGAAATACCGGGATGGGCTGAAGAAAATCACGAAAAACCAGAGTTAACGATAGTCGGTATCCCGGATGAAATTCTAACCGAGCAGTTCTCGAGCGTGAGTCATGAGCGTTACCGCTGAACCAACCTGCTGGACCCGGCCCCACTGTAGTATCGTAGTTAAGCGTATGGAGCTTTACCTCCACTCCCCCACACGTCTTCACGGTATGGTGTTTAATTAAGCATAGGGACACTTTCCTTTTCGTTTTTACAGCAGGTGGACTCGTCGCCCATTGCCTAATAAACGGTATGAGATTGGCGGGACTGAAGCACGCATCGAAAAAATGAGGTGTGTACATAATTGTAGTTGGAGAACATCACCTCGCAGACGTAACAAGTTGGTTCAAGCGATAACTCTTCCGACTTATATTAGTGAAGTGTCCAGTTCAAATCCCGGTTGGAACACTGACATTTTTGCGTGGTTTCCTTCAGGATTTTCAGGTAACTGCCAGAATGCTGTAGGCTACAACTGATCCTGCAATTCTCTGCTAATAATCTGGTTTTGTTACACGTCATTAAACAAACCTTAAAACAAAACGTAAAGCTATCCCTGTAACAGGCCGTAGGGGCCCAGAGGGTGGTGAGGTCAGCTTACGCGCCGGCCGCCCTTTACCCCCCAGGAAGATTCCTGGTACTCATTTCTGTTAGAGGCTGAGTCGATCCCAGGGCCATAGTGCGGCTGGAAGGATTAGGGCACTTGAAAGAACCAGTGACCAAATCGGGAATTGAACCCGCGACCTTCCGGTTTGTAGCACAATGCCTCAACCAACTGCGCTACCGCGTGCTCATAAACAAACCGTAAATAAATGAAACATTATCTTTCCTTGTCCACCGCGGTCGTCGAGTGGCTGTTTTCGGGCGTGTATTGCCGCCAGTGGCCCGAGTGTCCGTTTGCTTTCCTCCATCTGCGCTGTAGACACGTCCCTCTCATTGCACTGGTTGCTACATATTCAGATGCTGAAGTAATTACTTGTTGTGGGGACTGAGGACTCATTTCGGCTGATGGACTCTATCCTGAGCCATGTCACGTGAGGTCACATCTTCAGACTTGTTTTATCTAATACGTAATCGTCATATCCGTGAGCAAGGCTCGCAGGTAATATCGTTGTCCTCCCCCCCCCCCAACTATTTTGCCAAACTTTTCTATACACACCTTATTTCCCCTTGGTTTGTGTCTCTCGTTTTAATCAGTCTAAACATCGTACAGTACAAATTGTGGAGTTCCACATTCATCTCTTTTTTTTATTCCTATTGGGGTGGGACTAAGTCCCTTTGACTGCGGCCACTTCTGGCCTATTGTACCAGCCCCAGATGATAGGTGAGGGTGATTGTGGAGCAATTGGTGGAATGAAGATTGGCAGGGGAAACCGAAGTACTCGGAGAAAACCTGCCCCAGCGCCAATTTGTCCACCACAAATCCCACTTGACCAGACCCGGGATCGAACCCTGGCCGCCGCGGTGGAAAGCCAGCGACTAACCGCTTGAGCTGTGGCGCGGCCTAATTCTGCAGCTACTTTAGAACTTAGCAGCATTTTATGGAACCCGGAGGTTCATTACCGTGTTCACAAGAGCCCTGCCATCCTATTTTTTAAATATTCATTTTATTATTATCCTCCCATCTGCGCTTAGCTCTTCCATGCTGTTTTTTCCTCCAGGATTTCGTACCGAAACGTTATACGTATATTTTTCCCCTCATGTGTGCTGTATGTCCAGCCCATTTCATCCTCCTGAATTTAATGATCGTAATATTTGACGCGGAGAACAAGTTACGAAGCTTTCCTGCAGCGTCATGTTACTTGCGCCCTCTTGGGTCTAAATACTGTCCTCAGCATCCTGCCCTCAAACACCCTGAGAGACTGGTTATCCCAGTTCCCCATTTGATCCTTTGAAACAGAAGAAAAACCGATCATTTACACTCGAGGCCTGGAAATTTGGGGTTCTGTCTTGCGATTTTACGAGTGTGACGCGACATGAATTTGGCAGACGTTTCAGAGAAACCTTCTGTCTGTATCTTCACGTCACTCTGTCATGAAGACGGAGGCGATATCTTCTTCCGTAACGTTGCAAAACTCATCTAGCAAACTTCACGGC